CTCCATTGCAACAATGCACCACATCACGTAGGTTCAATGGTGAGGGATTACGGACTGTAGATATGATGTTCGTGCGATGCACTGATTGTGTCCGCGTTAGGTTCAACAATGAACGGGGTACACTGCAATGATATGTTCTTGTACGAGGCGCTATCAACAGCGTAGGAAGACTATGGAATGTTTGTATCATAGGAGTGCATGTGATACGTATACTCCATTATTATAGAATGTAGAGGTTTGTTCTCACTTTGTGCGTAATATTCATTAATGAGAGTATGGGTGTAAAATGGTGTTGTGCCAGAATGCATATGCCAGACTTGTACAATGATTTATATTGTAGGATGTTATTTTATGCAAAAGGATTACCGTAAGTGCGGGGAAACAGGTGGGAGTCATGTGTATGCTGCATAATATACGATGCGTATAAAGTGTTAGTCCCCAATGTACCGCGGGAGTTCCCTGTAAGCATGATTCCCCTGTTGTGACATATGCAGTGCGGTTGTGTGTGCTTCCACTTTCTCGGCGATGTATATTATGGCGGATCGGTGGGAATAAAGTTAGGTTTCTGTTTTCGTGTGCGTGCTCGCATGTCCTTTCTTCCGCCACATACCGTGCTGTCTGCAGTGCTGTGTTCGTTCCTGTGTTTCCCTTCATCTTGCTGTGTATATTTATTGACCATTCCCACACTCGTCAGGACTCGTGGTCGCCGCTGCACGGCACGTTCCACGCTCCCGTCGTGGCTGCACACGTCAGCTTAACGAGGGGGTGCTGCTGTTCCGCCGCGTGCGTGTTGTTGTGTTGTGGCGGCATCCGTATTCGCAGTCATATCGGTGCCGGCCGCGTATGCGCATTCTGCCATCGGTCCTTACCTGCCGGTACGTCTGGTGCTGGTTTTCCGCCGGCGACAGAGTTCGGTACTGTGGCCTTACTCTCGGCATTCTCAGGATTGCTGCTGGAGACGTCCTGGATAGACTTCATGCATGTTCCAGGTGTCTGCGCGCATTGCACTGCGCCCGTCTTTACCTCCTGAACTATGGTCTTCAGTTGTTGGCCTAACTCACGTATAGCGTCTCTCTCCTCTGTCTTCATTTCTATTTCTTCATCCATGTTATGTGTACCCTTTGTGGCCCCGTCAAGTCCTTTTATCTCTTCCTTACATTTGCCTTGTACTTGTCCCCGTCCAATGTCTTCAGTCAACTTCTTGTTTTTCTCTAACCATTCCTGAATCTTGTGCCCCATGTCGAATTGCTGTGTTTGTATGTTTTGAAACACTCCCTGGCCGCACTTTCCCCCTTTAATTAATCCAGGCGAAGCTTTCTCCAGTTCTTTCATTGTGTACCATGCATTATCTATTCCCATTTGACTTTTGCATGGAGATGCCAGCAATATGGACATAAATATATTTACTATTGCGCACCTTATATATTCCTTCAACGCTGCATTCTCATCTTCTCTTTCGTGCGAAACCCCGGACTGCTGTGGCCACCTGTTCATGAAAAATAATGCTCGTGACATGAGTGTGCACATTAGTCTATCCGCTACTATCTTTACCTTAAATGTTTCTTTTCGCCTCAGACTCCTATAACCCGCGTTCAAACAATTAGCTGCATAGCTGTCTAGGTTCTCATCTTCCAAATATTTCACAAATTCTTCGAGTAGCGCTTTTACATCTTCCCATAGGCTTTTCTACAATTGGAGTAATGCGGGGGCAAGTACATATATATCATTTTCCTGTCTTCACGGAGGATACTCAGGCCAGTCGCCGCTATGCTACATTCTGTACCAGGTATGCTATCCTCACAGCGGGCATATGCTGTCCCGTTCAAGTAACGTAAACATATGTTGTCTGCAAGCTGATTACCCTGCGTATCGACCACCTATATATATGTGTAGGCGCCTGCTCACTCCATTTTGCCCTCACAATGAATTACCGTATATGCTTTTTCATCCCGCCCTATTCCCCTTTTCAGCACATATTGTGCTAATAAAGCCCCTAACGTCGCATACGTCATATTGTCCTTATCATGAATTAATAGTGTGCAACGGATGAAACAATTATCGCTCAGATAACGGCTTGAGTATAATATGGACACAATATTCTATTACGTATTATGCAGTTTCTGAGGCAATGGAATATGTCTTGCATTATAGGGTGCCTTCGGAAACATGTCCCATTAACAAACTAAGCCCTATGTGAATTTAATGACACACCCCATAAATCGTGGGATGAAAAGAATGAAAAAAAATGAAATGAAAAAAGAGAAAAAAAACAAAGGAAACACCAGGACAATACTGGACAACGTGTCATGAATACGGCATTCTACACCGGTCTCCACTAAACGCCTTGACACACACTGGCTGTCTCTGTGTGCGTACACCTCAAAACCGCAATAACAACATCAATGCGTCTGCCGTGGTTGCTGCCGGCGTGGTCGCCCTTGTTGCGGCCCGTGTTCATCCCATAAAATTTGTGTGTTGCCGTCTGCGCTCCCTGCTCTCTAGATCCCTCTCTGTGATCCCCCTTTCTGTGGATGCTTCCCGCGAACCGCTTTACTCGGCCACTTCGTCGAATCGTTGTTACACTCGACCGCGTGGCTCGACGAGTTTGCTCGGAAATACAATCTCCTCGTTCTTGCTCTCGGAGAATCCTTCGTCGAATCCTTGTTACACTCGACCGCGTTTGCTCGGAGAGACAATCTCTCCTCGTTCTTACCCGCGGCACAATCCTTCGTCGAATCCGTCGTGCACGCGGCCGCTTTGGTCGACGCGTTTGCTCGGAGAGACAATCCTCCTCCTTCTTACACGGGGCTACGTGCGCGGACAATCGCGTTTACCCGGCCGCAGGCGCGCGCAGAGACAATCTCTCCTCCTTCTTACGCTCGGCCACGTCACTTGGCCACGTCGTCGAACCCGTTACGGGGAAAGGCGCATGTGCTCGGCCACAAGGTCCCGTCTTACTCGGCCAGTGCGTCGAACCCCTTACAGGGAGGGCCGCGTGTGCTGGGCGACAATCTGGCTGCAGACGCGACCGTGTTGTACGAGGTTACGTAGTTTGCAACTGGTGTGCGTGCGTGCTCGCGCACGCGCGACCGCACAGACAAATGCGCGTGGATGTGATGTTTGTACAACGTGTAGGTCGTTCGTATCGAGGTGCATACCAGCTATAGTGCACGGAAGTTTGTTGTAGGAACAGGGGCGGCGTTTGTGTGTGTTGCCAAAGGCACCGCACCCGCGTGCTGCCGCCGCTGCTCCAAAAAAAAGCACGACAACAACCGCACAACAAGGAGAAACAAAAGAATGACCACAAGCGCACGACGCATGTGAGTGGCGCGACGTCCCAGACGTGGATAGAGTATACGACGTGTGTACAGCAGTGTGTGCGGCGTGGCTGACGTGGATACAGTGTACGACGTGTGTACAGCAGTGTGTGCGGCGTCGATGACGTGGATAGAGTGTACGACGTGTGTACAGCAGTGTGTGCCGCGTCGCTGACGAAACGTCGACACACAGTATACGACGTGTGCAGAGCTGTGTGTACGACATGACGGACGAAATGTGAACACAAAGTGTACGTCGTGTGTACGACGGCGCTGACGAAACGTCGACAGAGTGTACGGCGTCGCCGCGCGTCATGCAAAGCAGGGAATGTATGTTACCACTAGAAAAAAATGTTACTTAAATCTTTGGTCAAATCTTTCAGTGTGTCTAGGAACTGTGTGTCTCCTTGTATGGTACTGAGGATCTGTTGGGTCAATTGCTGTGTGGTTTTCTTTAAGTCTATCGTGTTGTTAGTATTTCCTGCGAGCAGCGCATGCGCGTTTTTATCCGTGAACGGTTGTTGTGGCTTTTGTGATGCTGATGGTGGTGTGGATGGTGTGCTGTGGGTTACACTACTATCCGCGTTGTGTTGTGTTTGTTGTTGCGTGGCCGCTTTCGACGGGTCCAATGGCGACGGCCCGGATGGGGTGGATTCGTTCGTGTCGGATTGGCCGCCGTGCGCAGGTGTATGCAGTTCCGCCTCGTCATCTCCTCCGTCGTGCTCCTCATCGTCCTCGTCGCTGACGTCGTCCAACTGCTCCTCCTCCAACACTTTGTCCAATGTTGCGTCGTCCAACGCGCTTCCATTTGCGTTTGCCTCGTCATCCCCGTCGTGTGATGACGACGGATCGGTTTCTTCCACAAAATCAGGCTCTTCGTTTTCTAGATATTCGATTTCGGGTAACACTTCTTCGTCTTTATCGATATAGGCATCTTTGGGCACGTTGGTCATGTCCAACGGTTCTAACGTGCTTTGCTGCGAGGTTGGTTCGGAGGGTGCGGTGTCCGATGATTTCGACACGTCGTTTGTGGTAGCGGAGGGTGTTGTTGTGGACACTTTTGAGGATGCTTTTCCTATTCCCCATAAGTCGGCATCGTCCGGTACATCACCTAATTCTCCAGAGGGGGGTACCTTTCCTATACCCCATAAATCCTTCTCACTCAGATCTTCATCCCATATATCAGGTGATGTGCCACGGGAACCGGTAGCGCCACCCCCATGGCTACTGTTCTTATCTTTCTCAATGCTTGCACTTCGTGTGTCCGTACCCTTCCCATTTTGTGCACCATCTGCTCCACCATGTCCTTGTTCACCCTTATCCCTGGCACCCTCTGCTACTGCACTCCCGGTACTACCAGTACCAT